TGTCATTTAAACAAGAGTGCAGGAGTAACACTTTTGTGCTGCTCTTCGTCCTCAGCTATCCATAAACCAATTCCTTTTTAGATTTTTCCTAAACACAGTAAACCTGCAGCTCAGCAGTGCAGGCCAGACAGGCAAGACTGGCTGCACAGCCGGGAGACAGCTCAGTGTGCATCACCTTCTGGACAAGCTGCAGTGAGACCCTGAAGGCTTCCAGCAAATCAGGGACTATAGATGTGTAATTTGAGTCATAACCTTCTTCAAGCAGGTGAAGAGATGTAATTTGATCTTTCTTACGCAAAGTGTAAATGCACAGAGATTGGCAAGGCCACAACTAGAGCCTGAGATTTGGGAACTGTACAAAAACATATGCTGCAAACAGAGTTCCAGCCTCATAAATATCTGCTTTACAATTACAAAGTGACAGCTGTGAAAATTTATCAAAATATTGTCTCCTTTTCCTTTTATAAGTCTTGGAAGGAACACTGTGATAAATTTAATTCTGTTTAAATTAGAAGAGCTCTGGACTGTGTTTTTTCTGAAACTGGCACTTGGTATTTTTTGACTTTCCAAAACGTTTGCTTCACTCATAGTGCTTGACAGAACAAACACTCACAACATTGACACTTATTCTGCAACATGGCAATAGTCTTACTTCTTAATGTCTAAAAATACTCATGCAAATGCATCACAATTTGTTGGCTAATAATTACATTTTAAAATTAATTCCTTATATGAGACACTGATCATGCTTACCCATCATGTTTCTGTCAAAATACAAATCTTACAGGCAAAAGTGAACAGCAGCTCCAGCATCTTTAGGCTGTGAGTCAGCTCTATGGAGCTCATTTCCACAGGAAAACAAAACTGTCTTAATGCAGAAACTGAAATATGGTTGTTATGAAGTAAAAAATCTACTGCAGCTCTGTGAATTGTAAATCATAGGCAACATGTAGTTTAGAACTGCTTCTAATTAATGGCCTTTTCTGTACTGAAGGAATCTTGATTTTTAAGAGTGATCATTAAACATTTTAGATTCCCTTCTTCAGGAACTCTCTTTTGTGAGTCAATAACCACAACCTTTGAATAACCCAGGGAAATACCACTGAGGCTGGTTCCCCTTGAGTGCCCATGAAGAACAGTTTGCACATGAAATACAGAAAGCAATGCAATAAGCAGGATAGTAAACACCTAAATCCTTGTCCTGCTGATATGCAGCCAACTATCTGCTCCAGCAGGGGAAGACCCTTAAGTAATGAAAACACAGACTTGCCCATGTGTCTCCAGTGTACCCGTGGTCACGGGTACAACCCAAGGGCACTTTGCTGCTGCAGACCCTTGGGCTTGACTGTGCTCAAGCCAGGCTTTGTGTAGGAGTGGACTGAGGTTGTGTCTTGACATGCAACAACTAAATGCCCACTGGATCAGAGCTCTGGACTTCAAATTAGAGTGAAGAACAGCGGCATTAACTAAATATAACTACTGGTTTCTGCAAGAAGCCGTGATATTGAGAAGTCAATCAAAGCCAATGGATAAAATAACACAGAAAGGTGAAAACAGAGGTGGACACACAGAATCAAATCCTACCTTTAATGCACACAATTCCCACTGAAGTTTATCGGACATGAGAACAGGGCAGTGAGACAAAACTTGATCTACTGATGTTGGCTTCAAATAAATGAATCACAGCATCAATTATTAATAAATTGATATACTTTATTATGCACAAGAGACTAAGATGACATGACACTGTGGTTATCAAAACTGTACAACTATGCATTTCCACAAGTCTCTGAAATACTGAATGTAATATGAAATATAAATGGGGTGTTCAGACTGGCCACAGGTATTAGCAAGTAAATTTCTGCCATTCTTTGATTTAAAAAAGCATCTGGCATTTGCATCTTAAAGAAATACACTTATTTATTCAAAGGTGAGACTATTGTGTTTGGAACTGGTAGGAACATGGCAGCAAAGATCTGATAACACTGTGAACATCCCTATGAATGACAAACAACAGGGCAAACAGTCACCTCACACGAAGGGCTATCAGCACAACCAACAGTATAGTCTTCTTGTGAAGCATGAGGTAGATATACATAACAGAAAGAACAAACAGGAGAGGAAGGGTTAGAAAGGGGCAGGGGGAAGGTTACAATCATCAGCATTTACAGAATTTTGCAAAATCCATTTCCATGTGGAATATGCTACAGAAATAGCCTAACACAGAAAGATCTGACCTCTTGAGACATGAATATAGTAATGTTCAAAACCAAATGCTGTAAAAGGTTAGAGTTAGTGATTAGACAACACATGACAGAAGAAGCAGTCTATTGTGGAGTTTAAGTATGTCACTATTAGCTTTTACAGGCAGAAGGTGTCCCTTTTTAAGCCCAATCCTCCCATTCTTACACAAAAAGTTCCTTTGCACTTGATTCCACCACGCTGAAATTAACCCCCTGACTCCATCGCTCCGAAACTCTGCTGTACCACCTCTGCTGGGACAGCAGCGTCTCACTGGCCTTCCACACCCCACGGGGATCTGCCATGTGAGTCCAGCATGGCAAGACCACGTTGGACAGAGGGGGGAATCGGTGGCTGAGCAGTTACACATTTGGGACCTTGCCACACCACACACAGAGACTTGCAGCAGAGACAAATGGCTGCTATAAAAATAGAGCTTATAAGTGTATCAGTGATCTGAACTGAGGGCAGCTTACTAGCTGCTGGAAAGTACTATACATTTTTGTAATAAAGCTATTAACTGGGAATGCCCAGGTTTGGTTGCCTCTCTCTTTATTGAAGCAGAAATGGCTGTTCCATCTGCTAAGTAATCATTTTAGTAATCTCCAATAGACAATTAATTCAAGTGGATTAAAATTTCTGAATTAAATAGCTGAGTACACCAATTTCAGTTAATTTAAACTGTATTTCACACACGAGTCAACAAATCAAATCTTTGACCTTTATATATTTTTGGTTTATCCAATGGTAAATATAAATCTGTAAATTATTTTAAATTTACAGTTTTAAAGAGATTGATAATGCAGCATGTTTCTCTCAAAAATATATAATTATCTGTTTTACAGAGAAGTTTTCAAACTATCTGTCCCAACAACCAAATCTAATACTTCCTATCAGAAACTGCTTAATAAAATATCTGAGGAAGGAAAGGGTTAAAACAGGGGAAAAGAATTTACAAAATATGTAAATTTCACAGTAATTGAAATTAAACATTTCATATAGAGTAACTTACATTTATCTAAAACATTTAAATATATCTTTATACAGAAATTTAATGTAGTAAAATATAGCTATGATTGAACTTAAAGACTCTAGTCTTCTTTGAAGACATCTTTAAAGACTTTACACATAGAATATGCTTATACAATACATTCTGCTGAAGGTTAGGCAAAGCGCTTTCTTTTCAACCACACAGGCAGCACATTCATCCTCCGTAACAGAGCCAATCCTGCAAACCCTCACGCATGGGAGAACTACACCCACGTGACAATCTGTCCATGTGACCAGGACTACTCACTGGCCTGCTAACATAGAATATTTTTGTATGTGTAACTGTGCACCAACTGCCTGCATGGACACTGAAACCAGCTGTGGTGTGTAGAGTCCAGCATGTGCTTCTAATAGCAAGGATGAGGCATGCAGTTACTCACATGTGTAAGTGTTTGCAGGATTAGTAACAGATTTGATTTAAAGTGAGCAACATTCTACCTTATCCTGGGCACTTAGGTCTATCACTTATCTTGCACTTCAACCATCCTGGCATCAGCAAGGCACAAGTGTAGAATCAGCAAGAGACTGGTAGCTCAAACTTCAGAGCAGACTATCGCTCGAGTGTAATGAACTCCCTCTCTTGCAGAACACAGGTAACTTTCACTAAAATTAATGAAAGTTATTCATCTCATTTTTAGAGGAAAACAATCTCTCTTTTCCTCAAAGGAGAAGAATCAGTAGAACACATTACAATTACAAAGTGGCAACCAACAGTCAAACAATTACACATTAAAAGTGTCTTTTTTTTTCATTTGGCATCAATTTGAAGCTCAAGATAAGGCAACAACACTGAAAAATACTGTGACAATTAGTACCTTTCTGCCATTTCCATACTCTGATACTACTTTGGGACTATCCAACTGCAATGTTCATACAACAGTTTGATACAAACAACTGCACAACTATCTTCAGAGAACAATTTCGATAGGCAGTATTCTGCACAAACAACACGTTCTACTGTATGTTCTTTGTGCTCTCAAACCCATCTCTTATTTCAAAGGGCTAGCTGAAGGATTAGAACCAAATCAACTTCTTATCTCCTCTATCTTCTATAAACCAGAGACAGTTTTTTATTCATATATATATATATAAACATTATATATTTTATGTGTTGAAGGGACACTGAGCTAATTTCCAATTGTTAAAGTGGTAAGTTAGGCTCTGTATACCTAGGTATACATCTACTTGCATAAAGACATTGTCATTAAAGATACACACACATCTATGTTAGTGCACAAGACCATTCTTTGTCTTAATGTTTGTGTGTGCCTATATTTGGTATAGTAGATTAAAAAAAATCTCTTATTAAAGAGCTTTGGCCCAAAAAACAAGAGAGGGAATGTTAGTGTGCTCTTTTCCAATTAGCAAATCAATACATATTACAACAAAAATACCTGGAACAAACTTGAACCTACAAACACAACAGGAAAGCAAATGAGATGCTGTAGCTGTAAGCTGAACAAAACAAAGATTACTCAAAAGTGGCTAAATGTAGCTGAAATAATAAAATGTTATTAACCAAAGAGATTTGACCTTGAAGCTTTCTTGCTTAGACAAACAGAAATCCTTTGACCTAAGGTCATCTTTGTTCTCCATATCTTGTGTAGTGACAGGAGAAGGGGTAATGGCTTTAAACTGAAAGAGGGCAGGTTTAGATTGGATATTAGAAAAAAAACTCTTTTCTGTGAGGGTGGTAAGGCACTGAACAGGCTGCCCAGAGAAGTTGTGGATGTCCCATCCCTGGAAGTGTTTTCAAAGCCACACTGGACACCACCTGAGCAACCTGGTCTAGTGGAAGGTATCCCTGCCTATGGCAGGGGGTTTGTAGCTAGATGATCTTTAAGGTCTCTTCCAACCCAAACCATTCTATGATTGAATTCCCTTAATGAATACTTTGTGTCAATGAGAAGGTTCAGGGAAAGAAAAAAATTGTATAGACAAAGCAGCATTTTTCCAAACTGGCATAGACTTCACATTGAGGGGCCCACAAACCCCCAGAACAGGTTGCAGTACTGTAAAATTAGTAGCTTTGTCACATGTAGCATAACATGTTAACAAGATCCAACAGGCTGTGTTCACTCATGCATTGTGTGCTCATATACACACTCACACACACAGTGGCTTCCCCAAATCAAAATCAGTCTTTTTTTTTTTCTCCTGTAGAAAAATTCCTTCTCGTTTTTTTCAGAAGCAACCAAAACAACCCTTTTAACTTTAAAAAGCTGATGTCCACACACAGTCCTTGGAACCTATGTGCTCCTATGTTGCTCCTCAGCTGTGTCCCCCCGGGTTAGGTGGCACTGCTGCTGGAGCAGGGGGTGCTCTGTGTGCTGCCGATGCTGTGAGCTGCACTGCTGTTCTCGGACGCTGGCGGGGATGTAGGGACCTGCTGTCTTCCTGTTGTTTCCCCTGAAGGAAAGGGAAGAGAAAAGGTGGGGTCAAGAAAAGGGAAATTGAAAATGTTAAATATCATAGAAAACAGCAATTCACTCCCTCCCAGTCTTCCTCTTTTGGTGGTCTGTATTTCCATGCAATAAATACATTGAGGGACAGACCTTAAACAGAGTATTGTTGAAAATGCTACTACACTTTGGCATCTTAACATTGCTATGCATGTGGGGAAAACAACAGTGGTGCTTTGCACTTTAAAAAGCAGCTGATGGAAACTGCCAAGATAGACACTGTCTACCTTCTACTGTCAGCTGTCACTCAATGGGTCCTGTTACAGACCATTTTATAGTTTTGCTATCTGCAGGAAAAAGACCTATGAAATGCAGGCTTTAGTTTTAATGCCAGTTTATAGAGTAGCATATTTACTAAAAGTGGAGCTGAAGACAGTGTCCTTCAATCAGCTGGATACCACATATTCTGAGACATGGCCAGTTTTCTTCATGCAGAAAAACAACAGGCTTAAAGTTTGACTTGATTTACTCCTAACACAAAATGCAGGAAGTTCCCCTATAGCTACCACAGTATGTGAAGCACTTAAAATCTGTAGTGAGAACATGTATCACTATTTCTTGTCAGTTGTTTACTGACAATAAATTAAAAGCCCTTCGTTATTTAGATTGCCAAAACAAGCACTAGGATTTAAAGCCTGATTTATGGCTCCTGATAAAACCTAGGTTTCTGTCTGCTCTCCTCATACATCTTCTGCACCTGTGCCTGGGATTCCATGGGAAAAATTCAGCTCTCAACTAAGCATGAAAGTAAAAATTATGCCATTATGTCAATGCCCAAAAGATCATAATGAGACCACGTAGGAAACCATAACTGTGGCATTTTTTAAGCTACAGTGCTCAAATCTGTACAATATTACAAAATAGTCTCTTCAAAACAGATGGCAAGACTTAAGTTTATATAATGTGCACTGTAGCTGCCCCGTCCCTTGAGCTCATCTCTCAGGATGTGAACCTGTGATCTCAGCACAGTAACACAGTCAGACTGCTGCTGCTTGAGCTGCAGACCTCCTGTGGCAGTCAGAAACAGCACAGCTGCTTTCCCAGTAAAAAAGCAAGACAGAAATGTTTTGCTGGATCATGGGTAGGAGCAACTAGGAAAAATCAAAGGCCTCATCTCCTACTTCATGAGTTTGTAGTGACGCAACTCTCCTGCTTCACATTATCCTGTGTTATCCAAAACCTGAAGCCACGGGTCAGGTCTGCAGAGCCCAGTTTTTCTTCCATGTTCAGGATTTCTTAGAGATCTTGTTCCCCAGTGATTGCTTCAGCGACAGGTTGAAGGCTGGAGGCACAGCCTGCATCCAGAGGGTTACAGTGCAGGGACGAGACAGCTTCCTCCCACGGGAGCTGCTCTGGCACATCCCCCTGCCCTGTGTGCTGCTGCCCAGCTGCCAGAGCTCAAGCTCCTCGGAATGCGGCTGCAGAGGAAGTGTGCCTTTAACGCTTTGTGGCTCAGGCCACAAAATATCCTTCTGCAGGCTGCTCAGTATTCTGAGGTCTGCTACAAACAAGGGAGGTCTAAGGATTTCTCACAGCAGAGGTTGCAAGTGCTCTGTGTAATGGAAACCAGCAGGTTTGCTGCAAGCTGAAGCCACAGCCACAGCTGAAGTGCACATAAGGCCCCACAATGCACAGCTCTTGCCTTACACCCCACTGGTTTAGGAATGGGGAGGAAAGAAGGGATGGGATGGGATAGGACAGAAAAAACAACAAACTAAACTACTAAACCACATGGCCTAGGAGTCCAATAAAACTTTTAAAAAGAGGGTGAGGATCTTGCTTTTAAATTCAGCATTCAGTCTAACATTTACTCTTGTGAGCAGAGTTTGATTCTCTTTTTCCCAGTGTAACAAATAACTATGTAGCTCATCCACGAGCAGTGAATTTCTGCTCAAAGGTAGCAGGTCAGAATCTGCCCCCAGTCATCTGCAAATAAATCAAGTTTCAGCTCTAACTTGCTTTGGAAATGGTTTTACAACCAATCAGAATAAACTGTATAAAATCAAAGTCTGTGTCATCGTGCTGTAAAAGCTTTCATAAGCCTTGTTTGGATGTTTCTTCTCCTCCTGACTTGCTCCCTTCTTCAGTTGTTTGTGTACAAGCCTTCCTTCCTTTTGTACTACAGGATATATTTATAAAGGCAGTGACAAGCAAACTCCCTTTCATTAAAACAAAACAAGGGAACGCAAACATCAGAAAGCAGCGAGGGGAGGTGGCAAACCCCCATCCCCAGCCGCAGGAGAAGCCGCCCGGGCGGTGCAGAGGAAGGGCGGCCGCTGCGCTCCCCCGGCAGGGCCCCTGGCCCCCGCCTCTCTCCCCACAGCTCTGCTGCCACCCATTTTACAAACCACATGGTTACACACAGCGTTGGTCAGCCTCAGCACATCAACACGATCTGTACGCATTTAACCATAAATTCATTTATAAGCTAAACACATGTTTTCATTTTATGGCAAAGCAAAAGCACAATGCCAGAGTCCCTGTACAAGCCCAATGGCTCGCTCTCCCCTCCCGCCTCCTCTGGAAAGTGTCCTAGGAGGCACCTTCCCTTCTCTTTAGGTTGGAAGACTCCTTCCTTCCACTATAAGGACCTGCACAGGACCTCATTTCTAGAGCGCAATCAGCAGCTCTGATATACCACAATATATCACAATCACTTGTTGAACAATAACAAATTCTCAATGTCCTCAAGGAAAAGAAAAAATCCAAATCACAGTGATGTTACGAACACAGCCTAGCAACTACATCTGGACTGGATGATTTTTCCTGTATTTTATTTCCTCAACACCTAGCTAACCGTAGAAAAGCTTTCTTTAAGGGAATATTCAAGAAAAGGATGTAAAGAAATGTAAACTATCACCACAGAGGCATTCTCCATCTGTCTTTTTCATGTAAACAGCTTCACGTATCTCATGTTACCGAACCAGAACTGCTCAGAATGGACATGTTTCATCTATTGACAGTAAACAAGCTTTTACCCATCTGAATGCAACAACATGCACTTTATTATTCACACTTAGGAAAGTTGCCAGTTGTACTCCCTGTCCAGGAAGTCTGAATGTTTGCTTTTCTATCTCCATTTGCCAAATATAATTGGTTGCTATGTCAGTTTACTTTAAATCAGATCCCATAAAAAAAGGGAGAAGTGGGGGAGGAGGGACGCTTTTAACTTCTCGGATTTTGGAACAGTTTATCCTCTCAACTTGCAACACTGTCTGAAGGAGGAAAGCGCGCTTCCTAAGAGAACTTAGGGACAGATGTTCTCTAACACGGTTTACAAGGTTTAACGCTCTCATTAACTAATCAGACTTGTGCATGTCCCTTCCTAAAAATACTCAATTATCCCTATTAAGGCAGTTATTACATTGATACATATTTATATGGTTAAATTTCGAAGTGTTTCTGCATCCATGCACACCGCAACATTTTTGCTCCTACATAAGATCCTCAGATAAATGGGGTTAATTGTGGCAAATCCTGCTACTTCCATTTGTCCTTGGGTCTTCTCCAGGCAGGACCAACACCTTTCTTGTCCTTTAACTGACTGAAAGAAGGATCAAAAGTACAGAGTCCTTTTGCAGAAAAGTCAGCTAAAATTCCCCCTCTGCTGTTCTAATATTAGCTTTCTCTCTCTCTTTTCTTACTACCCATGTATCTTAGAACATTTGTACTCCACGCTGTATTGTTTCAGAAAATGTAGTGTATTCTGAAGCACAGTTTTGATGCTTTAGCAGAAATTTTTCATGACTGAACTCAGCAAAAGACCTACATGAAAAAACTCCACACAACAATCCTTGTTCAACATCTGGAGATTAACTTCTACCTGTTTTGGAGTTCCCTTCTGCTATCTCTTTGAGGTTTTAATGTTAATGGTCCACCAAGAGAACAAAAGAGCTCATTCATGTAACGCTCTGTTACCAGTAGAGACATACTGATAAAAGTGTATTGGTAAACCTCCTTACAGGCAAAAAGGTGGCCTTTTGCTGCATTGCATACAGCACTACAGCAATAAAAACACCTTACTTCACACATCCCAAGTTGCCATTCTCTACCAGCAGTAGCTTTTATCTGTGCTCTGAGTATCAGCAACATACAGTTCTAGAATGAACTCATATTTTCCAACCTTAGGTCTGAATCATGTGTTAGAAACCCCGTACTACTTGCAACAAAAGATATCAGAGAGATTCAGCAATGCCTAAATTCTCTAATGGCAAAAGACAGCCACTCTGTAGATGAAATTTAGATTATCTTTTTTCCTCCTCCTTGAGTTAATATAAGTCTGCAGCCAGCTCTAAAATGTTTCCACTGCAGCTGGATTATCTTGTCTGTCACAGCAGTTGCCCTCTTAAGAGACTGTCCCTGCCAGAGCCTTGGCTGCACTGTGTTGCAAGTTGTGCTTTGCAGATACAAGATACTATGTGCACAAAAATTATGTGCACAGGAACATAGGTTCACTTTCACAATTCTTTGAAAATCTGAACCAGATAATTTCCTGGATAATTTTTATAATTTCTGTGATTCTCTAATCTGATGCGTTACAGTGTCCCTGTCCTTTCTTCTATTTTCATTTATTACTTTATTTCTGGCCTTTTTCTCCATTTTTTTCATCTCTCAAACACAAAGGCAGAGCAGCTGTCCTCTCTGTATGTGGTCACTATGACTGATACACTTTGCTAATATAACTCTTTTAATGGGATTGGTCCAAGTTCTATTGCTGCTGAAAGATTTCTCATGTTGGATTCCCAGTGTTCCTTGACTACAGACACACAACTTGTGTCTATAGATGGTTCTTTATATGAACAGAGATCGAACTTCCACAAACGCAGGACCAAATATATTAATTTAAGAGTTGTTTTAAATTTTTTTTGTTAATAAAGGTTACCTGTGGAAATTACCTTCTTAACTTACATATTTACTCACTGAAATTATGTTTACTTTTCTTCCACAATGTTTCAGTAGTATACGAGACAGGATTATACAATTTATACATATTATCACAAACTTTAAATTTTCCACATTTGCCCCAATTCCAAACAAGTTTCATACACAGCTGATGCAATGAGAAGCATTAAACTGCTTATATAAAATCGTTGTACTGCCAACTGGAAAAAAGCCCACAGTTGTTTTTTTTTTTTCCGAATTAACATAAGCTCCTGGGTCATAATATTTACAGGAGCTCTGACCCAACAGGGCCAGACTCTCACTCCTAAATAGCTTCCATGAGGTTTTGTATGCCAGAAACCCAACACACTGTAGTGGGCTACAGGCAAATTCCACTGCTCTAGAGCTGCACAGTTTTGGAGTAATTGATTTTTCATTTTCCCCTCCTCCTAAAGGTCTTGGTAGGGTCTTATGAGGTTAAAAGTAGAAGTAGCTGGGAGTAGAGTATGCTCTAGGAATCCTGAGATACCCCATAATCCACAAGCAGCCAAGGCCACGTGCTGGGAATCATGCTGGCTCCATCAGTGTCCAGTCTTTGTACCACCTTGCAGATGACATGCAACAGAAAGCTCCCAAAACTCCCTCTTCTTCCAATAGAGTATTCTATTTCTGCAAACTTAGTTTAGTATGGGAAAAAATTCTGAGGAGATACTGGAAAATTATCTATGCATAAAGGCTGCATCAAATTCAGGCACATTCCTGATTATTTGTTTGGGCACAATTAAGGTTACATGTGACTTCTACCAATTGAATGTAATAGTTGAAGAATGGAGAAATAAATAATTGTGGCAAAAATTTCAGGTAATCAAGGCCCAAGAAAAATTTTCAAGTCTAGTTATATTCAGAGTATGTCTATGTAAATAAGGCATTCGCTTAACCATTTGGCCCACTCCTTATACGCATCGGTCTAATGAAGTAACTGCAAAAAAATTTTTAAAAAGCAGTACGGGAACCAAAAAGGATCCATTAACTGAAATGTTAAGTAAATTTCAAATACAGAGATGCTACTAATGATAATGCACAAACCATGAATACTCAGAGTTTTACTTGTGTCCCATGTGAGTTTTCAAGATTCACATTTAAAATTATTTTAGCAAATTTTAAATCATAATGTGGAACATTTCCCTGTAGGGAAGGGCGGGTATCAATTGGCTGATACACAATACAGGCTCACGGGAGGAGCTGCTGGAAAACTCCCTAGTTAAGAGAAGAGGGCAAAAAATAAAAAAGCCCAGGACAGCCATTGCTGGCTCCCCTCCCCTTCAGACCACAGCACGTTTCCTGCTGCATGACCTGCCCTGAGCTCTGTGAGAGCCCCGTACTCACCTGTGCGAGAGTAGATGAACCAGAGCGCTCCCGTCAGCAGGGCCCCGATCACAAAGGCTGCAAAGGCAATGCCCACCACAGTCAGCGTGTCCAGCCCGTAGAACACAGCTAAAGGTAAACACACATAACACAAGGACTTCTCATTATCAGTGCCAGATGCCGTTTTACAAAAATACACCCTTACACTTTCATGGGAGAGTTTTTTAAAAATTCATAGTTAATTAAGCACCATTTTAGGGAACAGACTAGCAAATTTGCGTCAAGGAAATAAAAGGGAAGCTTTCAGAGAGTGGTTTCAGGTCAACTAACTGTTCCACATCACAAAGCAAAACCCCAGCTCAGCACACCCCAATCTGGAAAGTGTTGCAAAAATTAAGCATTTTCAGTTGGCTGTTAATAACTTGCTTTCAATTAAATATTCATTTATCTTAAAAGTGTTTTAAAAAGGCTGATATTTTTGGCAGAAGATGCTTTTCACTTAAATGGCCTAAGCAAGCTTTCCCCTACATCTCCTGCAAGTTCAGTCTGAAATCTAGGTGGAGAACAGAACTGCTGTTAAGAGGGAAGAGATGCCAGCAAAAAGTCAGCAAAAACATAAATAGAAGCAATTGTTTTTCACATTTGGCAATGCTTTCAATAACTAAAATTAATTCCAGAACACAAAAATAGAAACACACACACACACATGCAAATCACTTTCTAGGGGAGAGGCCCTTTTGTAGGACCATTTCAAGGGTAACAACATCTGGCCCCTGGATGTGTTGCCCCCTAATGCTGACCATCCAAATAGAAAAACTTTTGGCTTCTGTGTTTTTGTTTTTGGTAATTAGAAATACTTAAAAAAATAATAATCACTCTTTCAGCAATCATTTGGGAAAATTTCTTCTTACAAAACTGATTTTTAGTTTTAGTACTTTTAATGTCTCCCAGTGCACAAAATGGCTTAGGACAGTGAATTTTACTGACTACTCGGGCCAGGAAATGAGCTGACTGGATCTCAGTATCCTTTCGTGGAATTTTCAGTTCCCAGAATACAACCAACACCCTCACTTTACACAATCCTGCACCCAGCAGATGTCCCTAAGGACATCTCCCATCCTCTTCTGACAAATGTCTTCTCCAGCAGTTCCTGTTGGCAAGGGCCTTCGGGACCCATTTCTGGGTACCTGTGACCTAGTTTGCATATGCAACACCTGACATATAATGGCTTAGAAGTTTCTTCTCTCATTTCTTCCATGAGGCTATTTCTGGTTTCTCTGGATACTTTCAGTCATTTTAAATGCAAACAGAAAAAACTCTCCTAAACACAACTGTTTTTTCCACCAGGCACCAGCCAGTGTCCTCTCCTCTTAGGAGGAAACTTAGTGGAGAGAAGAAAGTCCCATGGAGAAGTGGTAGAAGCATAATTTCTCATTGCCCTTGTTATTTTGAGCAAATTTAGTCTTGAAGGCAGGAACAGAGGAAAAAACCTTCTTTGCACTTCCTCTTCTAAATTCCCTTTTCTCCATTCATTCTTGCTTTTGGCTGCAAATCATCTGTACCTTCCTGTTTATTATTGCCTTCCAGTGCTGCTCCTTTTCTGGGTCATTAATAGACCCTGATTAATTCACTACACCAAGACAACAGAAAAACCAAAGAAATTAATCCATATCAAGTCAGTGATCTCATCTACAGCACGTAAGTGCTGGTGCCAGAGTAACTGGGGATGTGGCCAGCTGCAGCACAGGATATGAGTGAGGCTTGGAATAGGACATATTTAGGACACAGAAGCTCTGTAGGATCTTTGCTGCTCAAACACAGGTATTGGGAAGCAGTGGCCTCATCAGAGAAGGGGGAAATAATGCACACATATCAGCAAATGAACTTGCTAAGGCTGAGACTCTCAACAGTGTTTTCCCAAATTTGATTATCACATACATCAAAAGTCACAGCCATTCTCTCTAAATGCTGATGGGAACCTCTCAATCAGCAACTGAGTCAGAATTATGTTCTGTTTCAGAATTATACACATACACACTCACAAAACTTGAAGATAATTTTAATTTATCTAATGCTTTATAGACAAATATTTAAAACTTTAAAGGGACCGATTTAAGAGTTACTTACGTGGCTGTCTCACATTTGGCTTTGGAAGTGAAGGATCTAATTTAAAACAAAAAAACAAACAAAATCCACAAAACATTAATCAGATAGAGTTCCACATACAGCCTACAAACTATGCAGGTTCTGATCTGACAGGAAAACATTAATTGTAATTTTTACAAACCAGGAATTTCAGGAAAACCATCCCAAATTCAATAATCTCACTTATCTCAGAAAAATTCTATTCATATAACAATTATTCCTCAAGGGACCCTATCTACGGTATCATTCATACATCACATATTTTGCTGGCAAGTACAGTGCAACCTTTCCAAACTCAGATGTCACCAGGTCTGACCCACAGTAACTCTGGCTACTCCTATGTGGAAAGCTGTTTTAAAGGTGATTACATTCATCTGACTACTCACTAGTCCCAAACAGGAGTTACCAGCATGCTAAATCACAGGGACAAAAAAAGTCAAACACTGGCTACCACCTCTAAAGAATAGTGATTTTATGGCACAATACACACTACTTTGTCCAAATCGCATGAATATGTATTGATTCATTCATTTTCCTGAGTCCTACTTGGTATTCTTGAAAGTTGTGTGGGTTTTTTGGTTTGGTTTTTTAATTATATATAAGAATTGAAAGATCATAGCTATTGTATCAAAGCTATTATTCTTGGCAAGAACATCAAATATCATCATCATTATCAGCATGTAACAGAAAGAGACAAGTAAACAACTGTTTAAAAAATGAAGAATTTTCCCTTCTTTTGCTGAACTGGCTTCTCTTATCTTTCTCCAAGAATGTCACCTCAAGCAGAAGACCTAGAGATTCTGGCTTCAGACCCAAGGACCTGTTTGGTTAGCTGCAGTTTGATACTGGATTGTCCAGTAACTCAGGGGTCTAATTTAAATTCCAGCCTATCTGACTATGTTCAGTGCAACAGATGTAAAAGGATTTGATTCAATACTTGTTTTTGTATCTTTAGTAACTGAAAAAAAAAATAGTTTAACTGTTATGCAAACATAGCAGCGCAAAAAATAAATATATATTTATTTACTTTAAGTGTTCTTAAACCAAGACTATGCTTCTAACTTCTAAAAACCAGACAGCAGTGCTAAACTTCCAGCAATATTCTTTAGACCATTAGGCTCTGAGACATGTGAGATGCATGTGTACAAAATCCAAAAAAGCATTTTATTCTTAAACTGTGTTATTGACTCTTGTTCGAACACGAGTATCTCTTGGCACATGATAGGAAACAGGTGAAACAGAAGTAAGAAACAGGTGAGAGCATAGAGGGGTGTGTGGATGTCTGGGTGTGCATTCACAAATAAGCTGGAAAATCAAACAAACATAACACCAACAGTATAACTGCATGTAAAATTTGTGAGGAGGGCTGGACTAAAACCAAGGAGCAATGAAAAGTACAAACATGGGTAAGGGCACTATCAGATTGTCCAAACACACCACTAGCATATCCCAAGTGCCAAAAAAATTCCTTTTAAGCTGAGAGGAAAATGAATTTTCCATGCTCTTTCTATCACTGGCTTCTCTACAGAGAATATGAAATCTGCTAATGATAAGCTGTGTAGCCCATTATCAATTCGCTTCAGTCATCCAGTTCTTACATGTACTTTATTGTGGTTTGCTCAGAGCAATTCAGAAGCAGTGAGAATCCTCGAGGTCCACAAAAAACATCTAATTTAAAAACAAGATCAACCAGCCTTTTGAATTATTGTAATTTTATATATCTTTGTAGGATAGAAGCACTTGTTAGTTGCCCACTTGACCTCCTTTCTATGACTTGTCTCCTTTTGCAGTAGAAATACTAATCTGAAGTTTCCACACTTTAGCAAAAGTCTGAACAATGACAGTGGTAGATTATTTCAACAGAAGAACATGTAATTCCTATCATTTAAATGGCCATCCATATGCCTTTCACTGAAGTGGGGGAGATCATGTGTGTGAAATGTAGGAATGCAAAGGGAAAGAACGTGGTAAGGAGTTAGGTTTTAGACACTTCCACTGAGATCTAGTGCAATAATATAACCAACAGTCTCGTAAATAACTAACAAAATTAGGAGAGAAGGAAGAGTTATTCTCATTTGGATATACCATTGTAATTTCTAGTACAGTCAATGACAGTTATAAACTTATGTCTGAAGAGAATAAAAGACACTTTTGCAACAGCCAGTTTGTTCTGACTTTTGAAACATCAAGTGCTTAACTTTCACAAGTGGCTTGCTGAGCAGATCCAATGGCAGCACCTCACACAGTATGGTTTATAACAGTGAAAGCCGGTCTGTTCATATTAAAGAAAATGAAGAACACCACCTCTGAGAGGTAAATTCTACTGTTCAGTAATGTGATATAATTTCTTCAAATCTTAGGTTCACATATTGGCCAACACGGCATTTGGCTTTAAGAAAGGGGTTGCTTGATTCACTGCAGGACAACTGCACACCAACAAAGCTATGTTGTTAATGAGCCACTCTGTATTATGTCTGAAAGCTGGGATATGCTGGGGAGATTTCCACCAAACATCCCACAATTAAAGTAAATCATCCACAATGCAACGAAATACTCTATCACACTGTTGTCTTGTAACTAATCTTTATAAATTTAGCTTGTCTTTGCACACTAAGACCTTGTGCCTCTGACAAAGACAACATTCTGAGTGGAGCCCAAGATGGGAGCTGCGCACAATGCTCCACACATCACAAGGGCAAGAGAGCTGAGAGTACGACTGTTTATTGAAAGCTGAATTTCAGTTGCAGGATTTACTCATTCCCAATAGAAAGCCCACTGAAATAAAATGAGAGTTGAGTAAAAATAAAGCACAGAATCAGGCCCAAAGCACAGTTTTAAGTGACAGATCAAATATTCACCTTTAATTCATAGTGGATTTGATCTGTATTAAAAAATTCGTAGAAAACCCTCCAAAACTAAATATGAGCTGACTTGCAGAGTTAGACAGAAGCAGTTGTTGCTTATGTCCCCTAGCAATGCTGTATGGTACTTTAAATTGTTGGAAGACTAAAAAGTATGCACTGTACAATGGAGGTTAAAGGACTTCTGATTCCCAAAAAACATTCCAAAGGTCAAACAGTCCTTGGACACTATTGGAACATTTTGATTCAGCTTCTCCAAATCCTTCAATCAGTTACTAACCACACTCATTTTTTTGCAATACAGATTACATAATCAAACAAGTCCCGCCAAAGTGGAGCATCTTTGTGCATCTCATCTTTTGCTCTTAATAGTTTAACTGTCTAATGAGTCTCCAGTGGCCACCTTTCTGCTTTACAAACTTATCAGGCTTTAGGACCCTCAATACTTTGTAATTCCACTGTCATTATTCCTAAATTTATATTTACGAGCACAATAAATAAATTATAAAGTAGGGAGCAAAGCACTGCCTTTGATCTCTGGGCAACAAGGTTGCTGCAAATGCTACTGCTGCATTCATATTCCAAACCCCAGTACAGCATTCCTTTCTCTATGCCTGGCAAAACCACATGTCCAGAGATCAATACAATCAGAAAACAGCAACGAACTGCCATGGTGACTGCTGCCAGGGAAATGTCTAAACAAGTAACATCTTACAGACACAGTATCACCATAAGATTACACAATGCCACATACTTGGAGCACTCCCTCATTTCAAGCCCCTGTATGTTACACAATATAATATATATAGCTTTATTAAAGAGTTCAAGCTCATTTTCATACCTTCTTGTTTTCCTTCATGTGTTATTACAAGGGGCTTGGTGAAGGTTTTCTTGTTGTGCATCATGGCCAAGATCATATCCACATTGAGAGAGGTGCAAGCTTCATCAGGAGGAATGCACTGCAAGTGGAAGAACAGTGTGTGAGGTCAGAGAGTCACCTGTTTGCCAAGAACCTCCAAACAACCCCCATGTAATGTACTGGCAAAGGTAATGAGCTGTATTTCAGGATGCAACCTCTGCCTTCGTTAAAGATTCTCTGAGACTGTTACTATTAAACTTAAATGGTAGTAATTATTTTATTTCAGGATAATTTTTTTTTCTAAAAATCTGGTAGTCAAAACTGTAGCCACCGACACATGTTAATGAACAATGACAAATCATTTTTAAAAAACACATTTTAAGTGAAATGTATATAAACCCCAAATTAAAAATAAATTCCGAACTCTTAGAATACATTCTTTAACAACTAATTTATATATAATTCCATTAGTTATAAAGTAAAATTTGGCAATTCTCTTTTGTAGCAATCAGATTACAATATTAACCTATATGATGCATGGCTTTGGAAATTGAAGCTAACATTGTTTGTGCTTTGGATATGGATGTGATATGGACAGCAAAGATCATCCTGAACCACTTGTGTAATAAAAAGCAATTTCTATTCGTAACCATCCAATGAAATTTAAACAGAAACTGTAAATCATGTAGTCAAAATGCATACTATAATAACTCTTCTCTATTAAAATCCTGAGCCTAGAGATACCATGTTTATTACATCAATTCCACAGAAAACCGTTTATTCACTTCAGAGGTCAGATGAGAAAAATACCTTATTTTCATCTAAATCATAAGATTTAACTTTATAAATTACTGACCTTTGGCAGTCCTTGAGTATCTTTGTCTTTATTTGTACACAAAGTCAACTCGCAGTGAAGAAAGAGCAGTGAGATGTTGAACATTGGTTTAAACACAAAGCTAAATCTTTTTTTGTCCCTCTGTGCATGTGGTATTGGAAAGTTCACCTTCTCAGTACTGTAGAATTTAACAGATTCATCTTTAGGACAAATGTTTTCTATAATGGTATAGTCAGACATTCTATCTGGATTTGAAAACGGGGAAACAAAGCATGTTTGAATGGCAAAGCCCAAGGATCTGTCAGCTTTAGTCAGAGACACCTGCATTAAAAAGAAAGAGATGGTAAGATCTCAGAAATGACATTTTTAGTTCACATTTCATTAATACTTTCAACAATTTTTAAAGCAGTTTTCCAGTGCCATTTCCAACCTGAACTATTTTGAAGGCTAAATGTTAAGAGTAGACTGTCAAACTGAGAGACAGAAAATCTGTGGTTTCAAAATCAGCAGCTGTTTAATAGCACAACCGTGCATAAATACAGCCATCTCTTATCTTCCTGAAAGCAGATGAAAAACCCAGCCCAGACGAGACACACAGTTAATGACTGTGACTGCCACCTGAAATGGCACTGCTTCCCTTAGACACACACGCTGTGACAGAGCTGGATGGAAGTCAATCACTAATTCCATATCTTTGTACCTGTTTGAAACTATAATGAAAAAGAAAAAATACAAAAGCAACAGACACAGAGAACCCACCCCCAGCCATGACAGGAATGCAAAGGCAGAGAAGAGGTCATGGTCTGACGTGTGGGTGGCATTCCTGGACTGGGGGGTTGAGGGAGCCTCCTAAAAAGCCATAATTTCTTGTGAAAGGATCCTTTTAGTTTATTGTAAGTTTGAAATTCATATTCTTTTATGAAAAATAATTAAGACTGCAAACTTCCGAGGCCCTGATGTTGCTCAGCTGGACTGGAATGCAGATAACAAATGCTACAGAATAATTAGAAGAAAAAAAAATAAATGGAATTTGTAACGAATGAGCCATGTTGCTCTTAATAAACAACAGAAGCACTGTTTCTAACCATTAACACTGCCCAATGAAACAGTTCCACAAGAAATAATTTGCTTCTTAGAAGAAATGTGCCTTATCTGTGTACTTAATCCATATGTGCCTCATGTATCTTTAAGGAAGAGCCTGCCAAACTCTGTGGTTTGTGCAGTAATTTTTGAATGCTAGGAGTTTTGCTGTGAATAAAGGCATTTCTCATTTTTTCTCTCCCTTGTGTGAGCAGCAATCGAACTAGAGACGAAGGGATGTGCAAGGGATTTTCTAAGCAAGAAAGACCATCTTCCAAAAAGAACAGAAATAAAGATGGATAAATGAAAGTCAGCCATAAATACTGACAGGAAACAAGCTGCTGGTATAAATTAGTTAAAAAAGAGATTATGGGAAGGGGGACAGGCATACTACAGTTCATTAAATAAAAGGATGAATGACATCTCAAGGAAAGAAAACAACTACAGGAGGAAGGTGAGAAAATGACAGCAGAGAAAAAAAAAACAACCCAAAATATTGAAACACAAAAAAAATCTTTAGCAGACAAGGAAAAGGGAGATATAGAGTTCTTACTGATTATGATCTATTTATCAACCCCTCCAAATATATTTGTTAATAAAAAATGCAAAATGCAAAACAAAGAAGCAAAAAAAATTATCTGAGTCCGTTAAAAAAAATGGAGTCACAGAAGTTCAAAACTCATACGTTTTTCAAGGCACAAGAAGGAAAAACAGAAAAAAAAGGCTTCTGCCAGGACAGGTGATGAAGAAATCAGAACATCTGTCTGAATAAACAGCTACAGAACCAGACAAATCCAGAGGGCTTGGAGCCAGGGGGATTCATCTCAGATCACTGAAGGAAGCAGACGGTTTTATCCAAATGAAAAAAAAAAGAAGTGTCTTTTATAAACATATTCTTAATAGAGTGTGACATACTTTGTTTTTGCTTCGACTATCTTAAACTCTTTTCACTGGGTAGAGAACAAGGAAGAGACACAGCACACTGCTATGAAGAAAACTGCACCAATGTCAGACAGGTCACTGTGCTTATCATGTGCAACATGGACTCACAAAGAGGAACTACCTTGGGCAAGAGAAATACGGCACAGAACTAATTCAGTAAATATACTCTTGGTCTTATAAGCCCATAGTTCACACCTGGTAATTTACTCATCTATGAACTAGTGATACTTCTTCACTGCCAAAGTTGTATTTATTAATGCCTACCATTTTTTGCAAAATCCAAAATTCTGTACACATGGCTATATTTAGAAATACTGACTGTATTAGTTTGAAATTCCCCAGATGAGGAACAACACATGGAAATATTATCATGTGCAAAACACACCTGAAGTCAAGGGTTGTTGATTTTGCTTTAGTCTTACTTATCTAAATCTGGTAGATCCTTGTGTGGCAGCATTCAAAAGGATTGTAACTGATGTTTTTAAGTGAAGTGGAGAGAGATCAGAATCTGTACTAATGGTGGAACCTGAGAACAACTAGCATATGAAAGACACACACTTGTAATAATTTTTTGCACATCTACATCTTTCAGATGAGGTTCAGATCTACTATCAAATATAATGAACCCTGAAGTCTTCATCAGGACATGCCAGTTCAGAGCAAGAGCCCAGAGACACTTTTAAGTTCTGCACAGAAAAGCAAATTTGGCAAGAATCACCGATTTACCTTGTAAGAAAAATTCATCCATTTTGCAAGAATCCTTTGGGTTTTACCTAAAATATTGTCCTACTTCTTACCCCACAGTTTCTGTTCTCTGCAGCCACCACAGTAGCTACCTGCCTGCCTAAACCAACTGCCCCAAACCCTTCAACTGACAACAGATTTGGCTCAATTGCATGGCCTTGCAAAATGCTTCTGTTAGTTTGAAAGCCTTTTTCAACTTGTTACCTCTACATATATCGGCCCATTCTCAGCAACAGAGAAGAGTCCTTGGGAGGGAGCAAGGAACAAATCTGTTTTGTACAGCTCCATGTTGAAGGTAACATTGGTGATGTGTGGTTCAGGAGGCCAAAATATGCCTCTGTCATCCTCTGGCTGGTGCAGCGTGCAATTAAACTGAAATGAAAAAAAAAAATAAATACAATAACATCCTGAGCCAGGAGTGGTAGCTGGATAAGGGCAAATTTGGTGTGTGCAATACAGGCTTCCCCCATGTTCCACCTACTTAGTGTAAATCTTCAACAGGGTCATAAGAAACAGCAGTGAGAAGAAATGTGTTAAAAGACAAATTAATTTCTATACAATTAATGTAATTTATGTGGAATGCCTATTACAATAGGTATTTCTTTATTGGCAGGTGCAAACTGAGAGTAACATACCGCTATTTCAGGCCAGCTTGAGAAAGAAACATCTCCCTCATCAGTATCCCCTGGAAATCCATTATCACCTGATTCCATGTCATCATCATCAAAGCCACTGCCTTCAGCTGGTGATGACAGCTGAATGACAATCTGCTCAAAAGATATTGCAAACAAATTAGATTAGATATAACTGAGCACTCTCATGGTTATTTTCTTCTCCCTTCAAAACAATGCAAAGGCCAAAAGAAGAGCACCAGCTAAGCAGATAGTAAAAGCATGTCTTAAACAGCATTGTGTTGAGCATGTAGGACATGTAGCTTGCATTTCAAGAATGTTCCTTAGTTTTTTTCCAGAATTCAGAGCCAGTGATGACACCAATCTGGGTGTTGGTGTCTGAATGAGCAGCCTAGCATTTCTGTTCTATTTCTGGTATTTCTATAACCAACACTGAAAAAGGAGACAGCTTTCTAAAGCAATTTTTTGCAACTTACAGTTTTCCTTAAGGTACTCAGGAAAAATCACTAGAAGTGTTAGGGTTATTACAGGATTTTCTCCTCTGTCACTTGCATTTTTTCTTTCCAGAGACGTAAACCCAAAAACATTATGTCTCTTCTTCATTTTTTCCTTGTTTTTCACTGAATTTGTAGTGAATTCCAACCTTTTCTTTTAATCCTTTGTACACTTCTCCATTACTTCACCTGCAAATTCCTGGTTTTGTTTTCCAATGTTCTGGACTCTGCTTCAGTATGCCTTGTGGGTCCTCAGCTAGTTCCCTCCCTTCCAGGACTTCAACTTTGTTTTCTTGGACATAGAGCAACTGCTAAAAAGTGGCATATACATCCCTTTTGACACTCCACTGCTGGGTGTTTATTTTTCAGGAGAAATGCTACCAAATTCTGAAAAATACCATGTGGGTTTTGGAGTTCAAGTGTGTAGCCAAGACTTTTAAAAGACGTGATAGAGAAAAGAGAAGAGGTAAATGACTGTTTTAGTTTGGGCCACAATAGAATACAGGGACAATGACAGTATTTAGCTCCAGACACACACTGCTCTGTAGTCTGCTGATGATTCTATCCACAGTGCTGGTTTGGGACTGTTTCTAAAGTTAGGTGCTACCAACTCACCAGTATAGAACAGTTGTAACCAGGCAAAGTCAGATCAGATTGCCTTAGCTGTGTTTGGGTTGGACCACAGGCTTTCCATCATTTGCCAAGGTTATTCTATGTACTGGAAAGCTCAGCAAGAGAAATGTGTCACTACTTTCCAATCCAGATTAGCTGCACTGCACTCAGGTTCATAAGTTGAGCCAGTCTGGAAGCAGTCGCTTACAACCTAACTGTGCTCCTTTGCATCAACACTTATATGCAAGTACCCAACAGTCCCTTCATCACGTACATCAACAGACAGAAAATATAAACTCAAATTCTAAAGGAGAAGTGTGCATAATTAATGTATTTTCCTCATATTTTAAGAGCCTTTTTCACACACAATTTTAGAAGAAAAAATTTTCACTTAATTCAGCATACAAATTAATTGGTATTGCTTTGTACAATCACAAAATTCCCATTCCTCCTTACAGAATATAGTACTGCTTATGTATCAATGCATCAAAGTTGCACAGGGAAAGCTACTGCAAATTCTCTGAGATTGGTACAGATAGTCCCCAAAGGGTAGCCATGCAGTTTTGTAAAAAGTATTTAACTCCAACTCCTCCTTTTTCCTTCGGGATACTATCTGACCACAGGAGCACCCTGAATATGAAGCCTTCATGTCTCCATGAATACAGGGACTGTGGTTGCAACAAGGTTTGAGTTAGACAGGAAAAGATCAGGATGCCTCCTTTTTGCTAAGACTAAAGCTAACTGCAACAGCTTTCTTGTACTACTATGATGTGCAGTGCAGAAGGTGGATCCTCTTTGTAAAATACTCACAGAGTTAAAATAAACAATCTTGTTCAAGATATATGCTGTCCGAGTCCCACATTTGTTCAGTGCAGACTCCAAAATGAAATGGGTGCCATTCATCCTGGCTTTGCAAGAGTGATCCAGCAGCGAGAGCTCTGTCCGGGTGTAGCCACTGGCCTGAAACAAAGATGCTTTGTAAGTGACTGAAACACAATTGTGTTCAGCTCTTGCTTAAAGTGCAGTTCAGAATACTGTTCCTGATTGCTCATAGGAGGAAGTGAAGTTCATTGTACTGACATCCAGGGAAGGTCACTCTCAAAATGCTGTTACACATGACAGACAGGGAATAAATGTAGCATGGAACAAAGAAAACAACAGGTTCATTATTAATCTTCTGATTAATAATGCTGACTCTGGTCTGAAATAAGCTAAAAATGCTGTCTGTATCAGGCTCTTTTCCACAATGCAAATGGACACAAGCAACCTGTCAGCTGGTAGACGGTACAGACCTATTCAGGTTTCACATTGCTATCAAAAGCAGCTTCTTTGTACTTCGGAAATTAAAAACAGACTGATGGTTGAGTACACTAATTTTTTGACAGAGCCAACCCTGCAAAGCTTTAATAGGAAATCCCTCTAAAAACCATCAGATTGTTGTGAAGAGGAAACACGATTCTGAATTATGGCAAAGAATATCTACAGTATAGTTTCCTCACCAAACTATTTTTTGGGGGGTTGAGTGGTGATGGTTGTAGATCTTAGAATGTTTATTTTTTCAATCAAAATGCAAATAAAATGGTCTGTCCAAAAAAAGCCTACCCAATTTTGAGAATAAGATAGCACACCAACCTGCAGAGCATCTTTTTCTACGGCTACTGTCATGGCTTTGTCATCACACTTTATCGACAGGGCCACATCAGCACTGCCCTGAACCTCTTCCGGTTCTTTATGTTTTGAGAGGGAATGTCCAAAGTCATGATTTATTAATGTATCTACTGAATGCCTGGATGGGAAGATTTCTTCTCCCACTGTATCATGCCTTCCTCTGTTAATGTGAAATGGAAAAGTCAGGCCATCACTTAACGTGGGATTCTTTGGAGCAGGCAGTGGGTTAGCTCCCAGCAATTCTGTCAGCTCTGGAGGAAGGGAATGGTCTTCTTCATCATTCATCTCTTCTAAAAAAAAAAAAAAAGAACCAGACACCCGCCCATAAGTTCATTAGATATTTTTCCTAAAAAGTATCCAGCATTAATAATTTTCATACAAAAAAAAAATATCCAGAAAAGAAGCTCCTGAAGGACATCCAAAGTAGCATCTTTGTACTTTTCAGATAACAAGCTACAACTCCTCCAACTAAAGGTTTAATTGTTCCTGAGGCACCTAATCTTGGTATATCTGGTCCCTGTTAAAAACCTCCATCGCTAAGAGCTGAAATTAAACTTTGAGGAGTAGACCTATTATATGCAAAAGAACCACAGAGGTAAAAGAAACATCACATTCATAAATATATTATTTTAGTGCTGCTGAAATAGTCTAAGTGCAAATCATTGGGTTAAATTCTTTTATTACTCAACTCATCACAAATTCATTCACTCTATTGTTGTGAAACTACTTACATAACCAGAGTGAAGCTAAATGAGAGTTAACTTTACAGTGAGTAAATGAGAAAACTATCTCCTGGCTTATACATGTGACTGCTCAGGACAGGAATCTCAACATCTGCCTCAGGCAGATAATTATCTGTAACCCATCAGAGTGCAACTGATAAAATTATGTGAACAGAAGGTTTATCAAAATGGTTGAAGTGGTTGAAACTCAGAACTAGTGAGAAAAACAAATGCAACTCTGCTAGCTTCAATGGACCCAGATATCTTTACATCAGCAACAACTTTGGCCAAATAACTTTTTCTTTTTAGTGGTTGTATTTATTATCATGTCTGTCAACAATTTAAATGTTTATTTAATTGTCTCAAGAAAACACTATGCTCATACTTTTGGGGAAAAAAACAACACTAAAAAAAAAATCAAAGCTGGATTTATAAACTAACAAGATATCTGGTTGCTCAAGTTCATTTCAGTGAACACTGAGCATGGTCAGATATAAAGTCTTGTGTGTTGGATAAACTATAAACATCTAATTCCACCAACATTTCAGAAAATAACTTGCCTGGACTTTTCTAATCAAAAAGCCATCATTCACAGACATTACTGGCGTTCTTGATGATGAAAGTAAAAGCTGTGCAATGCCCAAAACCAAAGCTTCAAAACTGAGAAAACATCTTTTAAGTAATTGTATTCCTGGAAATACAAGATGTATTTTTTCTATATGCTAAAAATCCATTTTTAAGCTTACCTGTATCTTCAAGTTGCAGATGAAATCTGTTAGCAACAGGGGCTTTTGTGTAGGAAGTAACTGGACTATAGTTATGCTCATAAGCCCACTTGATCAAACTCTCATGCGATGAGGGAATATCAGGTATTACTGATTTACTCATAGTCATGGATCTCTCTGTTTCCTTTCCAAACCCAATACTATTTGATGTCTGCAAATAAAGACAAACTTAGTTGGTGATTTATGATTTATGGATACTTAAAATGGAGTAGTGATACTGATTGAACCTGTTTTTTTAATCTGTTTTACTCTATTATATAACAACAAACTGAGGACACCTGGGAAATAAACCAAACCCTGCCACTGTAGGCACATAACTGTTGCATACATGGAAAAAAAGAATCCCCCTTCCTCCCAGCTTCTGGTTGGAGTACAGTAAATCAAGGTAGTTAAAAACTGTTAATCCCAAAATGAGACAAAGACATATTTACAGTAATGTGTATAATGCAAATTTCAAAACTCAGTTGAAATTACTTCCGAGGTGAGGTGAATTCAAGATGCCAACTGATTTTTTAAATGTTCCCTTCATTTCTTTGATGAGAGCATTACTTCAGCTGTATAAGGGAAAACCTTTGTTCAAATAAGCATTACTGAAAAAGGCAAAACAGCATGCTCATGAAGTAGAGCTGATACCAGCTCATGCTTTAAAGTCAGCTGGCACCAAGGACAGGCTGTGTCTGAATAAGCACCCTAGAAACGCTGCATGCCTCCTGTAAATTTTTGATTATGTTAAACAGGATTGAATTAAATGCTTAATAGAGCAGTAAGTGAGAGCATGCACATTTATGCATGCTCAGACTACTCAAATAACATATACTTTCTGCATACGAAAAATTTTAAGATTTAATTAACAATACAAGTTTTACACAAATAAATTGATACAGTAAACTCATAAATGCACTTGCATGTTTCATTTTTTTAAATTATTAATAATTACAAATAATGCCTCAAAAAAGTTGGCACTGGAATACAGATGAGTCACACTGTCAGCTAGTTTCCATTTTCCGGTAAATGTTTTGCTAACTTTCAAATTTTCTTGTCCAAATGGGTAAGTCAAAGGAATAGAACAAGTATCTCTCACTGTTAGAGGGGTAGTTAGAAAATATTAACTGGTATTACACTTAAACTTGCATTTAAGTACTTGGCATCTTTAACATGTATTCACACAAAGCTAAATACATATATATTTATTTTTACACTCACAACACTACTATTATCACTGTAACAATCACAAGTTGCACATAGATGCTGCAGGAAAGGCATTGATGACCCACTTTTCAATGATTTTTGCAATGTGATTGAAATGCACTTTCTAATGCAGCTGATACCATGGAATGTTCCATAAACACTTTAATTTCCATGCTCAACTATCTTCTCCCTCATATAGGCTGCATTTTTTTTCATCCCCATTGGTTTTCCTCAAATCTTAAATCTTTTTCACTCTAGAACATCAAAAGGCTGACTGTTGAGATCTCTTTTAGATAGTGGTTGTATGGACATGCTACACAGGTCACAGAGCTTGGCTGCACTTCACCTGTCATCAGAAACAACTTTAGAACAAAGAAGTGAATAAAGCATGTAGAGAGTCCTCATGGTATGGCAGAGTATACTTTCAGCTCCCTCCCTCATTTCTTCCTAGAGACCCAGTTCTGCAGCTTTTAAACATTTGCAGCTCCACAATGAAAATAATTTTAGGTACAGTGTGTGGTCTGAGGATACTGTTATCAATGACCAACAAAGGCCACTGAAGGTAAGAAACAAAAATGGAGCAATAGGTATCCTAATTTTAGTGCCTTAATCAGTTTTGGATCAACTGATCTTTGATCTTCAATAGATGCAAATCTGGACACGATTGATCACACAATGTCATATTACCACAGCTTTGACTGGTTGGAATTATTATGCTACCCCAACTTTGCTGCATCTGCCTCTCAGCTTTCCTTTACTTTTTTGTCAGAAGGAGACAGCTGAAAAAATATTATCCCAGAAGTTTACTGTCCTAGCTGGCACCCAAGCACTTCCAGGGCTTGTTTATACCACTCCACTCCACACTGAGCCTGTAAATGTTCAATCCTGCATCACCTTAGTGAAACAAAACCTGAGAACAAGGGCTTGCAGGAATAGACCTTCACTTGCCTGCCCTGCCAACACCTTTACACACAGTGTTTGAAAGCAGGCAATCAGAGCCCCCACTAACCTACTCAGAAGAGAGACCATTTCTGAAAGTGGTGGGCAGTTGCTCTCACATAAAGAACAGTCCCTCCAAGCTTTTGAAACCCTCGCAGGGTTCTGTGCATTTCACTTCTCTCACTCTTCGCCCCTCAACACACTTATATTCTTTCTGCAACTTCACTGCGCAATTCCCAGCTTTGCAAAAGGACACCAAAACCAAAGAAAGCAGTGTGAACAGCAGCCTACAGGCACATAACCAGACAAGCACTGCAGAGGGGCTGCTGTAAGGACAGACTGCACGCTGGAGTTAAACACAGCCTGGGAGGAAAGCACTGCACATACATGATGTGCAGTATCATTTACCTAAATGACTCCCATTTTACTGGTGTTTGTATACACCCTCTTCCAGAGTTTCAAGAAACACAGCAATCTGGGAGATGAGCTGTATGAGCTACAATGTCTTCTTCATTTTTTGTCTGTGAACTTAGACCTCAATAACTCACAGTCCTGGGTCTGAGGCAGCTTAGCACTAACCTTTCCCTCTCAGTCTGCCAATCCCCTCAAGACAATTCTGATTCGTACTGACGGCAAGAAGTTAGGAAAATTGAAGTGCGTGGAACTGCTTCAACTAATAAAAAGAACATTGTGAAACATTACCTAATTGCTTAGTAATGTTTTTATGCATTGTCTAAATTTGGGCTTGGAAAGGTCTTCAGCTTAATAGAGATATGAAGAGATCCTAAATGCTGGATATGCAGACTTTTTAATGTCATGGGGGAGTTTGGTCCCCTCCCACACCCTCTCTAAATAAAGGAGAACAAACACATATTCAGAAAATGAAACATCTATATACATAAAGCAGTAAAGTAAACAGTTACTCACAAATCCCAACATAAATAGTCTTTTATATACTGAATTTTCCATATATATTTTATGTATTACTTTTTCTTTTTGTTAATCTAAATAAAGTGTTACCTTCTGCCACTCATTACAGAAGGAATTTATAATTATACTTTTATAATTATATTATTTATAATTTATATATATATATATTTACAATTTATAATTAATAAAGAAGAAATTTAAAAATAATACTTTTCTATATTCAAGTACAGCATTTTACACACAATAGAATTTTAAAATTCTGTAGAAATCCTCTCCATGAAAATTGATCATCCATAAAGTGATAGCCTCATGGAGGTGAAATATGGTACTTGAGCTATCTCCAAGCAGAGAGGGAACTAAAGCACAATTCTCTATCCTGTGAAAGTAGACTGATATGGGCCCAAATATACAGTGGTAAATTTTACGTAATAACTAGAATGAAACTTTAAAGTCAAGCATTGTTTTTTGCCCTTCTGCTTACAAGAGTGGTAATCCTCAGCACCTAACCTTGACCTTTCTCTTTAAAGACTGATTATTTAGGACCTACAGAATGACCAGAACACCCTTTCCTGTCTGTAAGACAAATACGTGTTAGGGATGAAGAGGGAATTTCATCATCCACCCTAGATCATTTTTCCATTCAATTTTCTGAGCAACACCAAAATTTGTTTTCTTTTATTTCCTTCACTCTCAAAACATAGCATGAAATCCTGTCTACCAATCTGTCCTCTTGGGAGATTTAGATCAATCAGCCTTTTTATCCTGACAAAACAACCCTTACGCACATCAAAAGCAGAACGCTACCCAGCAAAGTAAAACTCCCATAAATAGAGAGCTGAAGTTTGAAAATGTAACTGAATTACTGCAAAACTGCTAATCAGGTGGTCCTGAGCAAACATTCAGCTCGACTGTACAATGTGCTCTTAACTGATCACTTAAGACAGAAATAGGCCACACATTTATTGGCTGCATGATCAGTCCAATTATGTTTATTTATTTCAGACCAAGGGAAAACACATTTTCTTAGTAGAAATGGTGCTGAGCTACAAAGCCCGTACCAAAAATCAATGTTAACCAGCATCCCCAGTAATTTTAGAAGTTTAGTTTTAGAGATCCTGGTTTTAACTTTTAAAAAACTTATTATTTGCAGTTTGAGGAGAGAAGAGGTCAATTTGACCAAACATTTACTGGGGCAGAAGTACTGGCAGGGAAGAGGGGTAGACACAACTACAACCACAAGCAGGAGAAGTAAAACTGTTTCCACTTCTAAGGGTTGTGGGTGTGTGCCACATATTCAGTATTATCCATTCTGCACTCAGAGGCATTGTTCCAACTTCTGAGATGAACCTGTAGATCCACTCACTAAAGTAACAGTAAAAAGGGAGATGAAGATCCAACTTTGTGTTTAGGGTACTTCAACAGAAGTTGAAAAGACACAGACGCTAAATCCTTGCACTAACCACCTGGCTTCTGCCATGTGTTGGTCTAATAGCCCATATATTAAAAACTAATGAGACAAAATAGTTTCTGCATTTACTCCCTGACATGTATTAATAATTAAAAAAAAGCAATTATATATATCACATTTAAATGGATTCTATATTGTTGCAGTATTATATCTCTCAAAAAATAAAGGTGCCTTAACTTACAATCACTTCCAGCTTTCCCTGGACATCATGAGACTTGATAACCCAGTTGACAGACTTTCTACACTTGAGGATAAGTACGACATCTCTGACAAGTCTGGCGCCTGGTTGAGATGGTTTAATGTCAACGATTATATCCACCTGGAGAGCACTGGATGTGGAAAATAGAAAGTTAGAACAGAATGCCAGAAATTTTCAGCTATCAACCTTCTTCCAATCCATCATGTTTCCACTGTCTGGCCAGCTGATTAAAATGCTGGATATTATCCCAGGCAACACAACATGTGCAAAACAGATTGTTATTCCATATACGCTTAAGTGATTTTGCATAACAACAGAAACAAGTACTTTTTAGACAAATAATATTGTTGTCTCTTATTTACAAAGTGTGTGCTATTCATTTCAGCTATTATTTAGAGCAGGTAAGTTATATGACTAGCAGGTTGCTTTATAAAATAAACATTGTTTTCTTATTTTCCTCTGACAGCGTGTAAATATAGCTGTTTCAGTTTCCTCTGGCTACAACTGTATTAAAACTCAAAATAATACCTTAAAAAAGGCAAAAAGACAAATTAAGCAGCTTAACGCAAACACACACACAAAAAATCCAAATCAAACCACAAATACTGTATTGAAGGATGTCTCTGCTTAGGCAGTTAAATTGTGGAAATTACTTTGCTTAGGATCTTGCATGTGTTGAGGAATTAAGCAGTGTATTCAGTTTCCAATCCTTCTGGATATATACTTACTCGAAACAGAAAAAAACCCAGATGTCCAGCCCACTGCTTGCTGGAAAATAGATGAACACTATACAGATTTTCAAGATCTCAGTAAAATAAGCAAATGGACAGAGCAAATGGGTTTGTACCCATCAATAACACCTTGTCATGCAAAATATCAATTCAACAGAAAAACGTAAACTTCTAGACCATCTTATGGGGCCACACATCACAAGAACATGCTCATCCCCAAGCAACAGGTTTCAACTAATATTCTGCACTGAGACTTAGTTGTATTTTGGGGCCTTTGTTTCACCTCCTGGAGTTTTACACACACTCAGATTGGCTTCCGTATGTTTCTTTGAGGATTTAAACTTTGTAAAGATAGCTATGGATAACACATAAAACTAAAAACAAAGCAACGTATCATTTCTTTTATTTTGAATAACAAAATACTTAAACATTTTCACTGTTATCTGAAAACCAAACTCCTATTGTACTATCAGCCAAAGCCAAAAGCCCAGTGGGCTTGGAATCCAGGCTGTCATTGCATAGCACTACATGGGATGTAGAATGATGGCTGATGCTAAAGATCAGTTCTGTTCAGGATGGGCCTGCAACTCACACCACACAGAAGCAAATCATTTGGGGTTACCTACTCTCCTTCCACTACATCTCAGCACTTTTTTATTCTCCCCAGGTTGCTAGCCAAGAATATTGTCAGACTCTGGATTCAACATCTTGTAATGAGATAATTAAACTTTTTTACAAAGACCCCTCCTCCCATCCCATCTGCCTGTGTGATTTTCTCATTAGGGATAGGACATGCTCATGTGTAACTGCATGAGGAGCATGACTGGACAGTGCTGGATATCCAGTGTCAGCAGTAAGCAGACAGGATTTTAATGTTATCTTATCTCTGATGGAATTGTAACCATCTACGTTTCACAGCAGATTTCTGTTCTAGTAACCATACTCAGCACTTAGGACAAGCTTTTTCAAGTATGACTGTCTGAAGCAAACCCCATTAACGTTCTCCCACTGAGATCTAGGAAAGACGAGCAAAAGATGAATGTTTTAAATGTCCTACCTCCCAAAGGTACCTTTGACAATTCAGATAATCCTCATAATGTGTACAGAGTTATTTTTCCTAACCACTAGTTATAAACTTTTTTGGTCAGTGGACCACTGTCAACCCTCAACATTTTTTGCAATTATCGAACTATCCCTTAAACTCAACTGGAAACTTGACAGAAAATACTGTCATGGATCTTCAGACCAACTGTGGAACAATTACCATAGACCACAGGCCATTTGCAACCTCTGGACCACTGTTTGGAAGCCACTGTCCTAGGCTTTCTTGCCAGTCATTCCAACCAATGACAGGTCGAGATTACTTTCAACCTCTCTCTCACCTCCTCATACAGTAGTCTAACCTTAAACTCTATCTGTCAGATGCTGCCCTTACTGATATTCCCTTATTCACCTTAGTCTTGGAAAAATTCAATTGATTGAGCAAGAAGTGGGGTGGGATATAGTCCATAGAAACTGTGCTTTGCAGTCTTGTCCAGAAAGATCCTGTGATTATGAAGCAGAATCCAAAATCTTTAAATACTGAAGAACTAATTTCTATTTAAGGCGAAGTACTAAAGTCCGAGCTTTTCTTGTAAGTATAAAATGGTTACTTTCAGTTGATTTTTAAATAGACAGGTGAAACCTTTAGTTATGATTACAAACATTTTTAGTTTATTTAGATGATATTTTACCTGTTAGGATTGGAATTTGGAGTGCTTAGTTCAATGATATGAACTTCTCTTTCTTGGACTAAGTTAGACATAAGGCACCCCTCTGCTGGCTTTGGTTGAAGGTATCCCGCAAGGTAATTTAAAGAGAGAAAATTCTTTTTAATGTTGCACGAGGGAGGAAAAACTTGATCTGGAGAGGGAAAAAAAAAAAGGCATGTGTACCTTTAAACATAGCTATCAGCTTAGATATATATATACTGCGTCTACTTCAGTGTGGCACTATATTGCTGAAAGGTATATCTATTATCTACTGTAAGCACAACAAATCAACATCATATTGAAAGGGAGATCACTGTTGCAGTAACATCACATTTCTGACATAAAATATATACTTCTAAACTGAACAGCTTCTATTCATGGATTCAAACATTTAATGAAAGAAAATTCCTACAAAGAGAAATTTGAAAACAATATTGAAGGAAAATATGTGAGCATTTTTCAAAATGAATAAAATACATTTAATTTGTTCCTTGTGTCTTTAAAAAATATTTTTCTTTTGCAATTTACTCAGAAACCTTTTGTGATCAATTCCTTCTTCCTCTGGAAAGTGTTTTATTCCTGCTATTATAAACTTACCATATTTAAAATACCACAGAAAGTACTTTCCATTTCCTTACTCAATCTATTTCCCTATACATTGTGTAGTCAGAGTCAGTGCTCTCTAGAAATACTGCAGTTCTCTTGTGTGTGGAAAACTGCATACAGCAAGAAAAGGATGAAACCAGTTGTTGATATTAAGGAGGTCTGATCATAATATCCGCAACTGAAATGATGAAATTCTAGCATAGATATTCACTCTCTTTTGGTTTTAACTGCCTAACTGATCATGAGCATTAACTAGTGCAAAATGCAAACTATAAAAAATAGTCACTTGGTATGAAGTTCTCATGCACAGCTTACATTGCTATACCATAAGAAACAGTATTTCCACTGAAAATCAGGAATACTTTGCATTTCTGAGATAGCTTCACATATGAATTGTTATAATACACAGAAGGACTAAGTATCACGTTCAAAGGCACAAGGTTCTGTAAGAATAGAATTCCAAATGGCTGGCTTTTGGACCATTGCTTTATAAGAAAGACTTTTCCTATTAAGGTCAGTAGCAAGATTAAAAAAAAGAAGTAAACCAAAAGCATGCACTGTGCACACAAAACTGTGGACAAACTCTTAACAACTTAGCTAAGACCAAGTGCTTCCTAACTGACCACTGAAATGTCACCTCTGAAGCGCATTTGTTTGTGCTGCACAACTTTGCAGAGAGACCAGAGAGTCCTATGGCCCTGGCCTCTGCAGAAAAAATTAGAGGAGTTTCTTCTCCTGATCTTACATAAAGTAGCCTTTGAAATTAACTGTGCTGTCTTCCCTACAGAATCTAGGAAAGCTGTATAAGGCTGTAACTATTCATACTGCCCAAGCAAAGCACTCCTCTAACATCTGGTATGTGCCCTGCCAGATTAGCCTTGAACACAGCTGCAGTTCTGCCAGCTCCTCCCACAAAAGCACAGAATGGAAAATGATCCCAAACGGCTTATGCTGAGCTTGAATTTATATATATATATATTCACATAAACACACAGACACAGAGATACTAGCTATTTCCTTCTTAGCTGCTGTGCAACACAATTCAGGCCATAAAATAACAGCCTCTGAGCATTTTGTGGATAGTTACCACACGTGCTATCATTTGCCATTGCAAAGAAATCAGTTCTTGCTCCTGGCACTTCCATTAAGTGTCTCTGGAGCTCTCCAGAACTGCTACTCTTGCCGCCAGAAGTACAGAGGCTTCCCAGCCTGGGCCTCCACTCGATAGCACGCTTTTCCTCTGCAGCAAATTTTAACTCTATCAATGGCTACTTGACACACACACCAAAACGTATTTACTCTCATCCCTACCAGTTACCAAAATCTGGGCTGGAACCAAAGAGAAAAGGGGATCCATTTCATCTTTCTTTGCTCACTACCCTTCTTTTCTTTGTTAGTTTCAGGGCTGTCTACTCACTTTGGAAAGGCACTGCAGGTGTCTGCAATCAATTAAAAACATTACCAAACCAGTCAACAAACAGTCAATTTACGGACCCTGTGCCTCTCTAATCTCCACAGACTCCCAGTATGGAAACAGACATGAGTTTTGGCAGCAACACCCTCAGCAGAGGGTCTTCAGCCAGCAGGTCCAGGTGCCGAGGGGCCCCTCTGTGCAGAAGGCACGTGGTGGAGCTGTGTGCACAAGTGTCCAGCAGCCACCTTCTCCTTCGGCGCGGGCCAGACTGCCTGGATGGAGACAGAGGACTGCACACTGAGATCTGTAGTTTCTGTGGGCAGCACCTCCATTTGACAGATGAGGACAGACATCGCCTGCTCTATTCTGCATGAATTAGGTGTCATCCACAGGTTCTCGGCTAAAAGTTTAATATCCAAGCTTAACATCATGAGGAGGTCTAGTGTCACTCTCCAAGACAGGCACCCTGGGCAGCAGCAGTTGTATTGAGCAATAAAAATCCCATCCAAGCAGAGCTTGCCTTTCAAAGTCTGAGCAGGGGATAAGCAAGGCATTTGCAATTTTCCTTGGGCACTCTGATGGCGGGGCTTATTCATGTGCATTTTGGAGTCTGCCAGCCCTTAGCACAGAGATCAAAACCTTGACTGACATTTAATGGCAGGGGAGACATAGGATCAGGGAAGGGACTACAGAGGTCTCTGTAGGGAGTATGGAAACTCTCGTCAGTACTCATCCCACAGCAGGACATACAGCTAAAGCCAGGCACAATGCAATCACCTACAACCATTAAACCACACAAGCATGGCACGCAGGATATGTGCACTGGTATGTACTGGCTATAAATTCAGATTCATGACTGAAGCTTCATCTTCTGCCAGGACAGAAGCACAGTGTTACCATCTGTAAATGGACTGTACATTTTCTAGTTTAGTTATTCTTATGGTTGACTAACATTTTTTCTTATTAGCTAAGAAATGTGATGATATTAGCCTCCCTCCAGGTCAGCATTTGCCTTGGATTTACACTGGTAATACTGGGTGAGTTAGGTAACATTTAGCTAACTGATAAGCCTTCCTGACTTGTTCAATTGTATCTTACTGAGGCATGAGGATTTAAACTGCCTTCTGCTGAAAAACACGTACTAAGACCACTTTCATCATGAACAGTCCTCCTTTCTAGAATCTGACAGTGATTACCATGGTAGTCACTTTGTCATCTCCTTCACTACACAAATCAAGGCAACAACAAGAACCTTACTTCTTGTGCCCCCTTCCTCCACACCCCCATTCTGGCCCCTCAAAGTTCTTGCTGTGGTCACCATCCCTGCAGTATTTATCGACCACTCTTTAGAATCAACAGGATTCAGATGCACTTGGCCCTGACCCAGTTTGCTAGTGCTCTCAGCTGCCTTTCATTTGCAGCTTCAAAAGTGACTTCAGAGACCCATGGCATCAGAAGCAGCTTTATTCTATGAAAAAAATCATCCTTCTTCAGATCTTTTAGTCCTCTGGTTTGCATTTTCTGTTCACTGTATTCAGCTACAGCCTCCACTTTTAAAATGTTACATCTTCCAGTTTCAGATTTGTCTACCTTGAGTGAATCTGAAATGTAGACAATTATATGGATACTGCAATTAAATTCTGTATCAGTCACATAGCAAGGAACTACTTCATATGACCACCTATATATTAGGAGTAATACTAGCAGTGATGCACAGACTGGCAGCTAAAGGTACCTAACTAAAATTGCTTGACGAGTATAAATTTTACACGAAAAGCCCAAAATGTACATCACTGTATGTTGTGGTTTGTGAAATCCAGTAATTCTATTGTTCAGTCTGCAGAGAAGCAGAGCAGGACTATGTCCCACGTGGTTTCCTTAGAACTCCTTGCATGACTGCTGCAGTTCAAGAACTGACCCTCTCCCCACCCCTGAACACATGCATAACCCCACACACATACATGGCACTTTCATTCTTCTGCCAAGAATTTAAATCAAAAGCCAATACGGTTACAGCTGAGCTAGTTTGTAGGAGCCTTCACAGAAACTGTCTATTTTGGTTGCCTGCCAAGTTCCATTTTGTGTACTTACTCCTAATTAAATTGTGTTTTAACACATTCTAAAGATGATACAAAACTCTCCTCTTTAGCTGCCTGGTTTGACTGGATGCAAAAATCAACAAACAAAATTTTATCTGGTTTTTTTTTGACATATCTAATTCAATATTCATCTCTGCAACGCAGAGACCACCACTCCCATGTATATGTTCCAAGAGCACTTTAATAAGCTAATAAATATATTTCTGAATGATTTTCTGGCATTAAAATCCAAGACTGGTGCCAAGTAGAACAAAAAAAAAAAAATCACACAGGGGAATCCTCTACAAATTTGGCAGGATTTGGAAAAAACCAACACAGGCATGTTCTGATTTGGGGGGCAAGCCTCATATGTCAGGAAATCAAATGATCAGATACAGGTGGTTAGGAAAGAATGTTTTCTCCACAGAGGGTTTTTGGTTGTTTTTTTTTTTTTCTTAGCCAACTAGTTCAGCTACGCAGGACTTTCTATAGAAATATTGCTGCAGAGGCTCATATTGTTATATTTTCCAGTACTGCTCAGCTGCAGAGCTACAGCCCGAACCCTACCCTAATATGGGCCTGTAAAGACCCTGAGGAGCTGGAGTCCTCTCCCACCTGCATTAGGCCACCTGACGAATCTGGCACGTGGCTCACAGGGACAGGAAATCTTTCTCCTTGGGATGAAAACACACAAGGATAGACTGAGGCAACTTATTTTGCTGAGGAAAGCAGTAATTCTTTGCCCAAAGTAGCCTGGATCCTAATACAAGCAAATATTGAAAAAAACCATAACTCAGGTATTTTTGGAAATTACCCCCTACGTCAAGGTCTCCAGTTCTTCAGATGAATGCACCCAATCACTGTGAATAGCTGATTCCATTTAAAAGGCAAAGTTTTGACTCTTTTAAGATTACGAGCAATTGCATCCACAGTTACGAGCATAAAATTATGGCATCAGAATCCACTAAAAGTTGCCTAAATCCAAGGTCTTGTCTTTAGACTTGCTCTTATCTCTCTGCCTTCCCCTTTCTTATCACATCTCTTGGAAAATGAGAGGTATGTTTAAAGATTAAAATACAAAAAAACAGTGAAATAATACTATGGCAACACAATATCCAGAAGTATCTATCAATTTTGTTGGTTTTGTTTTGGTTTACCTTCTCCTACTTTAATATAGATGTTTCTTGATATTTTAAGTTCCGTGAAAGATGTTACTGCTCCATATTCCTTCTGGGCCCACTGTAGCAGATGTTCATTCTTCTCAGGAAAAAACTTTTCTTCTGTTTCTGCTGACAAGGAGAAATTTCCCTTCTCAAACTGAACAACGGAACCTAAAGACACCTGATGGGAATAAAAACATATTTTTAATGGAGTACATTTAGCCACCCAGAAAAGTAGCAAGATTAAGCAATGTAATCCGTCCCACTCAAACTGTAGGGTGATTATGGTTTATTGCCTAAATGTCAAACGTTTTAACATTTGCATAACGATTCCTTTTTCTGAGCTGTTCTTGCAAAATGAAGTGCCCATGACCCTGGGTAGGGTGCACATGGTAGACTAACAGAGGGCCCTGAGCCACTCTCCAAAATCATACTGTTGCAGAAGTGGAACCACAGTGTTGCAAGGGGAGATAAACTGTGGGGGCAAAGAGAGGGCTGGAAGACAATAGGAAAACTAAGCAGGAGAGAATAAGATGATGATCTGAGGAAATGAAGGCAGATAAGAATATGAAGCTCAATAAAACTGGGAGCTACTAAAGTAACTCCCAAATCAGACAGAACATGAGTCCAAGATCAGTGACACATAAAGGCCAGCCCATAAACACAGGGTAAGGAAAGAGAAAGGCTAAAAAAAAGGGAAAATGTTTACTGTTGCTTTATTTACAGGAAGTAAGGAAATATTTTAGTCTAATACATAACACGGATGAGTTATACATCTTCAGAAAAATTCTTAAAAATAGGTTACATTAACTGAGATCTTGACTAAATGTCATTTAAAGCTAAAATGTCATTTAAAACAGTCAAAATGGAAAAACAGTAAGTAGAAGTGTAACAGGTTCTACAGGAAAGCCTAAGATTTTCAAACACAACTTCACTGAAGTGGTAATAGCATCATTCAAGAACAGAAGGCAGCAGAGGGTCAGACTCTCTTTCAGATTGGGACCTGCTTCAACTTGTGACAGTCTTGAGAGATAAACAAATCATTCCAGATTTACTACAATGCAACATCATCCCAACAGCAACCTTTTGACTCGCCTGTCCCAACACTTCCAAGACATTTGACAGTTCTCAAGAGGTCCCTACAGCAAATGGTGAAACAGCAGCATTCCTTCATCTGCCCAACCTCAGGAGCCATCACCCATCCATATACTTTACTGTCTCTTCCTTCAAGGTGCTGACAGACTGGGGCCTACATGCTCTATCCAGACTGGTCCTTCAATGAACACTTTCACTAAGATCTAAAACCATCAAGTCAAGAATAATATGTACTTGAGCGAAAGCACAGCAAGATGAATAAGCTTTGAGGTGTGAAAGCATGAGTGAAGATCGCTTTGGATGTATGCCCTGTAGCTTGTTCAGATATAATACACAGCCCCTACTTCCAGACCACTGCAGCAGACAAGGCTTCATGAAAGCAGTACCATTATATTTTCTTCTGTTGTCCTCAGAGCACCTCAGGAAGAAGTCAGAGTCACTCTGTTGTTCTCCTCCCCATTCACTTTTCCCATCTTTCTATTAACTCAGATTTCTTTGGTGGAACAAAAGTGTATTTTTTTTTATCCAAAACTACTGATGACTGGAAGAGGGAAAAATACGTCATAACAATTTCTGCCCAGAGTACTATTTACACATTACAACAGGTAAGGGTCATAAGTATCTCTAAAGTCTTTTATAAAACTAATTATTTTACAGAAATTATCTGAAGTCAGGTTCCAATTACAGAAATTACCCAACGGCAACCAACTATTACCTTCCCTGGAGCTATTGTTCCCAGCACTATTTCAGGGTGATACATACCAATTTGTTTAGCACCGACAAAAATATTTGTCAAAGTAGACACATAAATTACATCTTTTGGCATATGGAATGAATTTCTAAGTTCTTCCCTGTGCTTCCAGCTAGTATTTATTATGCACATATCACATATTCTCCTCTAAGAGAAAGCCCAGGTAATTCAGAGTTCAATTTGACCACACCTGTCACAAAAAACAACTTAGGAAACCTCTTGCCACAATAATTTTCAAAGTTTAAACTAAAATCTGTTTTGATTCTGAATAATCTTCCTTATTTGTTGTTTTTGATATGACTACCATAAAACACTTCCTTCAAATGAAAAAGAAGTCTTTACTCAGTGTAACAGACTACACCACATTCTCTCAATACTCTCATACTTCTCAAATAAGACAGCAAATTCTACCATTAGAGTACATCCACTGCCCCCAAAACTACAATACTAGGAAAAGAGAGCAACACATTTATCTCTAAAATGTATTTAGTAAATAGCATTCACTGTACTTTCACCACTTAGAAGCTGCAAGATTGATTTTATGGGACATCTCTACAGTGCTCCTAACACATTGAATTCTGTGTAAATTAAAAGCATACAGTCTCAGAGGACGACACTGACACAGCATAAGCCAGGTCATGCCAAATCGCATACAGAGCACCTCTTAGCAACGCTGTCTTTTATATCAGAGACATGTGGGATATTTTTGTAGAGCTTCAGCCTAACTAGAAAAATCTCCCAGGGATGAAAATTGCAGGATTTAAGGACTTAACTGGCGATTATTTGGAGGAATATTGAATAGATGTTGGCATTCCACCCACAGAAACAAGCCTCCTTAACTACCTCAAAAATACTACAGTTTATCCAATATAGTATAGTAGTTAGTTTTCAATTACACAATGTTTCTGGTATTTTTTATGGTCAGCATAAGGGTAAAGCAGCATTAGGGTATCTTTTAAGATATTTGAGGACAGCATAAGAGAAAATATTATTCCTTCTAAATAATGACCAAAGAAATGCATTACCTTGCAATAATGCATTTTCACTGTATTTTTCATTTGAGATAGTTAAATGTTTGCTAACAAAACAGCTTTCCTCCTCAGAAAACACTTGGGTTTGCATTTATTACTAATTAAAACTTGAAAACCTTTTTCATCATCCTGCAGCATGACAAATGTCTTCCTGAGGGACAGATCCTACCAAAGTTACCAAGTCCTGTGAGGGAGGAACTGACAGACAGAAAGCAGAGCAACTAAGAAGTCTGGCATAAGCATCCTCACTAAGTGATCACATAGTAAACATCTTTAAATAAACATGAAGCTTATCATAATTTATTTTTTTAATCACATACTAAAGTCTGTTTGAAATGCTGGTTCCGCTAACCAGGTTTCAGAAAGGACTGCAGCGTTCTGCTGTGCCTGCCAATGTTGGGATTTTTACTACACAGACCTAAGGCAAGGTTAAGTGAGCCAAACACGTTATTTTTTTTGGAAAGAATTCAACAGACCCTTCCAAAAAAGGCAAGCATCACTGTTTCAACACCTGCCTTGAACATTAACTACTTACTCTTCAGAACAAATTAAAAGCAACTTGAACATGCTCAGCATAACCCAGAGCATTAAAACCAAATAATGTTTTAAATATTTGGGAATATATTAATTTTTATCGGAGTACTAATTATACAGCTTGACTTGGTGATTAAGAAACTGCTGCCACAGATACTTTTATCTCCTCCCTTTATCTCCTGTAGTGGTTACTTTCTGAGTTTGCTGAGTGGAAAAAGTGCCCCAGCTCTATTTCTTCCACTTGTGAGGACATGAAAAGTGACTGCATCAGAAACATCTTCTGCTGCTGAGTTCACCACACACCCTGTGACATTTCTGAGGCTAAATGAGGAGACTTCCAAACTGGACATGGAAAATCCGTTTGCAAGACCAAAAGATACTGGCCACAGCCACTAACCACAGCAAGGACCACGGTTCAAAGGGGTCTTCTGCAATCAGAGGGAATGAGGATCAAGCACAGTATTTTGAAAACTTGCTACCAAAACCTGAGTATTCCACCAAAGAACAAAATGTGTTCAGGAACACGTTTGGTTACATACACTACTGCCCTGCTGCGACTGGGGAAAATAGGAACTGAAATTTTCTTTGCACCGTACCAAGGCAAGGAAACACATACCCCTCATGCTGAAGGAGGTGGGGGGGAAATAAAGCCTTTATATGTCCCCTAAGAAAACTTTCCAGTTACTATTCATCAGAGGGAACAACTCTTAGAACCAAACCTGAGCCATCTCAACTATATACACTGGTGAGCGTGAATATTGCACTCACAAAAATAGCACATTCTGTTTCTTATTTTACCTATTTCCTTCTTTCCTTTTAAAAGTTTATTGCCTTTTTTTATTTGAATCTGTTCCAGGCGGGATATTTACTTTGTTTGTTTTATGACATTTTAAGTATTTAACATAGTTATAATTCAGAACTCCCAAGTAGGAAGCAAGTCCATAATTTAAGCCTTGAGAGAGAGGTAGGCAGCTCTGGGAGAAGACCCAGAACACAAAGTTAAGTGTCCACAGCCACACAGCATGAACCAATCCTTCCCCTCACAGCAACAGCTACACCACTACTCACCAAGGGCCCCCCAGCACAACTAAGCAACTAATCCACCCCTAAAGCCAAGATATAGGCAAACATAGTAGCAGAAAAAAGTAGCATCCTTCATATTTTTATCTGAGCTATACAATATCAGACCTGTGGTGGAACACATAGGAGAGGAGTAAATCTGCTCAGAATAAAATTAAAAAACTTGAACCAACTTTCAGAGAAGCCCACATGAGGATCAGACTCAGCCGGTGGTTTTTGATACTGTACTTTGATGTGCTTTGCTCCCCTTACAGAGGAAAAGTAACGTCATGGATGAAATATCAGGTATTCCAAAAGGTAAAAATGTATCTTCTGTTGGTCATAAATCCACATACACATACTATAATCATCAAGAGAAAAATTCTCTCTGATAAGGGACTAAGAAACATACTGCTTTTGAAATGCCATGTAACATCTGTGAATCCTCTATCAGCTTTGCATAGTCCTTACCAGCCACAGAGGTGTGATGCTTTCAGGCAGTAGTAAAATTTCTCATGTCCGGTTTAGTGTTCTCAAGACCACATACAGTAATTACAAAATTGCACTTCCAGATTTCATTTTTTTGAAAACAAACACATAAAAGAAGCATCATCTCAATTACATTTTAGATTTTAGTTCTACTTCCTAGGAGATGCTCAGTTTGCCAGGTACCTAAGATCCTTTTATAATTAAGGCTGCTCATCGTTTTCT